AGTTTGTATACCAGCATTCTATGGTCAAAAGGCAGAAACGGCCCAACATGAGTAAATAAAATGAAGTATATGCATACAATGGAATATTATTTGACCCATAGAAGAATGCTCTGATGCATGCTATAATATGAACATACCTTTATAGCATACTAATAAGCCACACATATCCAGAATAGGTGGGCCAGGGACATGGCTCAATGCCTGCCTGGCAAGCACAAGGTCCTGAGTTCGATTGTCAGCACCAAGAAAAACCCAAAAAGTAATACTAAATTTAGAATAGGCAAAAATCAGATAGAAACAAAATAGGGTTTTTTTCGTGGAACTGGGGATTGAACTCAGGCTCTTACGCGTGCCAGGGAAGCGCTTATTCTACTGAGTCATCTCCCTGGCCCCCAAAATAGGTATTATGAAGACATGGAGAGGTGTTGTTTATTGAGTATAGAATATTTTTGGAGTGATAAAAAAAATGTCCTGGAGGAGCCAAGGAGATAGCTCAGTGGAATAAATGCTTGCCTGGCAAGCACAAGGGCCTGAGTTCAACCCCTAGCACCATCAAAAAATTTTAAAATATGTCCTGGAGCTAGGAGTGGTGGCTCATGTCTGTAATGCTGAGCACTCAGGAGTCTGAGGCAGGAGGATTGATGCAAGTTCAAGACCAGCCTGGGCCACAAAGTGAGCTCAAAGCCAAGCTGAACTGCATATCGAGATCCTGTCTCAAAAAGACATAACAATAATTATCAAAAGAAGAAAATACTACACCCACCTAGCAGAAAAAAGTTGATCCATTCCAAGTTTTCTCAGCTGTGCTCCTGCCACTTTGGGTTGGATGCTTCCTTATTGTGGAAGTATTACAGCCCCATGCACTGCACAATGTTTAACAGTATCCCTGGCCTTGACTCGGTAACAGTAACACCTCCCATCTATCACCAGAGGTGGCCAAGTGCCCCCCAGGGTAGAAGAAGGCACAACACTCTTCAGTGGAGACCCACTGGCTGACCAGACAGATGAGCACCATTGGAAACTTTGCTTCAGCCCAGTAGGCCCACCCACCAGGTCTGCCACCGAACTTGGGGGATTTCTGGTTTCAGGCCACAAAGAGTCTTCAGCGCAGTGACCTAGTGAATGTGGTTCCCCTTCTCTGCCTCAGGCAGTGAGGCTAAAAGTTCGAGAGAAATCAGCTCAGCCTGAGGTTTTTAGCTCTGGGCTTTGAGAGGGCTCACCTCCTTTATCTTCTCTGGAATTCCAGAGGGATCAAATCAAACAAGTTTGACAATGGTTTAACAAAATTCTTTAATAAAATTTATAAAAATGCATCACCATTGCAAATACTTTTCTCAGCCTGGATTGTTTTCCTTTTCTACTCCGAAAGAAATACAAAATTATTAGCACCCACACACATTTACACTCAAAACTACAATGACGTTCACAACACCCAACTACATTAGATATGGTTTAAACTGCAGCAAAAATCAAGACAGTTCCAACAACTGATTACAGACATATTTTTTTTCCTTCCCTAAACAGTCAACAGCAAAGCAATTTCAAAGAACTCTTTTCTGTAGTAGTCAACAATTGAAATTTGGATTTTTAAAAAAAGAAAAAAATTTCAATCAAGGTCCTTTCTCCTGCCCCCCACCTGTGGGACAGGGTCTCAGCTATGTAGTGCAGGCTGGCCTCAAACTCATGGCAATCCTCCTGCCTCAAGCCTCCTGAGCGCTAGGAATACTGGTGTGTACCACCACTCCCCGTCTTCCCCTTTCTTAACATCCAGTAGAACAGTATTTTCTTGCTTCTCCGAAGGAAAAAAAAGTTCGAAATCTCCAATATTCTATTTTCTGTGCACACTTAGAATCAGGCATCTAGGTCCAGATGGGCCAGCACTTTTTCTAAACACCATCAAAAATAGACATTTGAAGCATTTGCCTGGCAAGCACATGGTCCTGAGTTCAATCCCTGGTACTAGAAAAAAAAAAAAAAAAAAAAAAAAAAAAAGACATTTAGAGAAGCTGGGCTTTGGAGTACAGACCATGGATGAGGCTCTTGGGTAGGAAACACATGTTGAGATTCAGCTGTTGTTCCTGGATGTTCAAGGAATGAGGCTGCCCCCCTCAGCCATCCTCAACAACTCACTAAGTGGCCAACTCACTTTGCTGTCTTTGGCTGTAGTGCTGTAGGTCCTATTCTAAGAGTCCTTAATAAACAAGCACAAGAAAACAAGTGGCACCTGGAAGTTCACCCTATTTTCTGGTCAAGGCTCCTGATATAGAACCCAAGTACTCCGAAATGACAATCACATAACAAACATGGACTCAGAACAAGTGCGTGTGTAGATGCTCATTTCAACCTAATGCCCAGGAGCCGGGAAGGAAAACCGGGAAAGGTCTTCAGAGTACACAATACCCAGTCAAGACACGGCCAGACCTGGACACACGCCTGTCACCCTGAAAGGGCCCAGGGTTGTCTGCAGAAGGATTCCTACATGTGGCAGGATTTTAAGAATAAGCGCGGAGAGCTATCAGGACACAGAACACCAGTGCAGTGATTAGGGGATGGGGAAGGAGGCACTCAATTCAAAAAAAGAAATTTTTAAAAATACATATATGACATTTTACTTTCAGCCTTCCTTTTAAAATTGAGACAAACCTCCTAAAGGAAATCTATAAGTTGCTAACAGAAACAAATTTTATCTATTTGTTGGTTGGTTGGTTGGTCTGCTGTTTATAAGCAAAGGTCTGTGTAGTTCAGACTGACCTTGAATTCACTACGTAGCCCAGGCTGGCCTCGGACTCACAGCAATCCAACCCCCTTAGCCTCCTGAGCGCCAAGATTAGAAGTGTGCACCACCATGCCTGGCAGTCAGCAAAAACGTCTGAGGCTGCAACTTTGAAATATCAAAATTCCAGGAGCTTTGGGACCTCATTACTATGTACAGATTATGGGCGGGGGGAGGGGGCACCAAAAAAAGATTCCATGAAGTTAAACCTTCCTAACACAGACACAAAATAGAGCTATGAAGGAGAAACCCTAACTATCTGAACTGGATAATGCATCAGTCTTGGTCCCAGGAGTTCATCTCAAGGGACGGGAGCTGGAAATCACCAGGAACGTTGTTGTTCTGCGTTGCACACCGCTGGAGTCTCCCAAGTCCCCTCAGTCATCCTGGCCCCCTCCGTACATGTCTGCCAGCTTCTTGAAGCGATTGCCCCACTCGTTGAGGTAATCGTAGTCCTGGTCCTGGTCCGACTCAGAGGAGTTCAGGGAGCTCAGACTGGCCGCTTCAGAGCCGCTCCCTTCATAGTCGAACACAAGCAGAGAGTCATAGGGGGGCGCTGTGGGGTCACTGTCGGCCGCCTTCAGGTTCTGGAGAGGACAAAGGGGTCTTTGAGCAAAGGAGCAGGGCAGCATTGGAAAGAGGAGCCACCTCCTGTGGTGCCTCACTCGGGTGGCACATGAGGGTGACAGTGCAGTTAACATCAGCAAGGTACATGCGTACAATCTGGCATAGTGACTGAAATGCCTCCTTTTGCCAGGTCCTGGGTTAAGTCCCCAGCACATCAAAAAAAAAAAAAAAGACATAATTTTCAAAAAATTTTTGTATGTGTGCACAGCATACTTTGATCCTTCCCCTTAGGACACCGCTGCCCCACCTTCATCTGGTCTCACACTTGGGAGGGAGGGGATTTCAGTGTGATAATGTACTTTGCTTCACCCCTTCTATGAACTGCGCCCCCCATCTATTGTTGAGAAAGAGAGGACATTACAGGATGCTTCCTCCCAAAACCAAAATGATACATTTCGTGTAAGAAGAGACAAACAGGGACCAACAGGATGGGGTGCCCACCCATCAGGATAGGGTTCTCAGGTCACCCACCGGGATGGGCAGAGGGCAGCTGTACCCACACATATGCACTGTGCTTTAGCCCCCAAAATCTAAAAGGATGAGGCTCAAATAGTGATATTAAACATTAACTCTGAGGAGTTTGAAGAACCGAGTTTGAAGGACTTGCCTGTTCTTTGTATATGTACATAATTTATATTTTGAAGATAGCATTATTTTATAATTAAAGCAAGTACAAATAAATGTGATGGCTCCAAAACAAACGTGAATGGAAGGACCCATAGCCATGCATTTCAAAGGGAGGTGGAGAAAACGGTCTTCGAGGGTCTGAATGGAGGAGGGTTGCTTACTCAAATGCTGTATGCTCTGTGTGACCCCAGTGATGATAACTTCCACAGAGGACAAAAGCAAAACCAACCTCTAAACCAAGCAAGGCGGCACCTGCCTGTATTCCCAGCCATCTTGGAGGGTGAGGTGGGAGGATCTCAAGTCTGAACTCAGCTGGGACAACCTACTTAGCAAAACCCCTGACTGAAAATAGGAGAAAGACAAAGGGAGGTGGGGTGGGCTGAACTGTAGCTCAGTGTGAAATGGGCAGTACCGAAAAACAAGAGAAAACAGCTCCCACATGAACTGATAGTTGAGGGCCCACTATACTATCAGACAAGCCCTGAAATGCATTCCAATACCTGAGCAAACAGATCCTGCCCACCCCCAGGCCCTTCCTGGGTTCTGTGTTCATCCCACTCCCAGTTCTTTATCATGTTATCCTGAGCTGATGAATTTAGTGCCTTAGTATTATCCCCCTGCATGGGGAGAAAACCCGAGGACAGCTTGGCCAATAACATTTTAGGCAAATTCCCTTTTTGAGTAAGAAGACAGTCTATTAGAAGATTTTTGTCCTCAGCTCTGCACTTCCTGTTTCTTCCTGACTGAAATACAGACCCAGGGCCTGGAAGTGTGGCAGCCATCTTGTGGTTATAAGGCAACAGACATGAGCAGAAGGGTCTGCGAGCTAAGATGGAGGAACAGCCAAGCGCACCAGCCTAAACTCTTGCTCCAGCCTCTGTTCACATGAGGTGAATCTACTCCTAATCTGTTTGCTTCTCCACTTAGAGCTGAATATCTTTCTTTCTTTCTTCCTTCCTTCCTTCCTTCCTTCTTTTCTTTTTTTGGCAGAACCGGGGATTGAACTCAGGCCCTTGCACTTGCCAGGGAAGCGCTTATTCTACTGAGCCATCTCCCCGGCCCCCTGAATGTATTTCTGACATATATGAGTACTACTGTTCTGGTCCTCGAGCACTGCAATAGACATTTAACATCAATTCCAACCTACTGTACAATTAATGAAATCAAAACTGAATTTACTGAAAAAACAAAAAGCTGAATTTACTAGATTTAGTTTCATTTCTAGATCCATTAAATTCTTTCAAGAATTTCTTGGTTTTGTCACAAAGACCTGACGAACACACTAAGATCAACTCAGAGTGATTTTCTCAAATTCAGATGAAGCACAGATTAAAAAAAAAGGGGGGGGGGGCTGGAGAGATGGCTCAGTGGTCTAAAGCACCTATTTGGAACAAGCTTGGAAAAGCACAGGGACCACAGTTCGATACCCCAGCACCACATGCCAGCCAGCCCCGCCCCCTGGTGGGCTGAGCTGGCCACACACACACACACACACACACACACACACACAATATAAATGTTAAAAAAAAAATTAAAAAAAAAAAATAGGGCTCAAGGACTGGAAAAACTGAAACCATGGGAGAGAGAAGAATCTAAAGATTTTTTTTTCCTTCTCATTTTGGACACTTTGTCCTCTTTTTTTCTCCTGCATTTTTGAGTTGTTCGCCTTGGCTTTTGACTTTGCTTACTTACTTCATCAATAAAATTCCCAATTTCATCGGGGTTGGCAGGGCGGGGTCGGTACTGGGGCACGCTCATGAGGGTCGGGGCTACGTCATTGCGGGTCACTTCAGGCCGAGCGTCCAGGCCCCTGTGCAACTGGCTCAAGTCAAAATCCTTTAGAGAGAGAGAGGCAAAGAGTCAGTCACAGCCACAGGTCTGTATTTGCTTCATGGACTACAGTCTCACACCGTGCGTGGACTGCCAACAGAACGCCACTCAGCAGCAAGAGCCCAATTGACTATCAGATGAGTTTTTAAGTCAGGAGTCTCTCAAACAGCACTGGAAGAAGATATCACCCCAAATGAGGCGCACTTGTGGGTATACATGTAAATGGTTGTGTCCTACTCTTCTTAGACCCTGGTTTCTAGGTTATTCTTCAAATGTACCATTTCTCACCTGGGTACAGAATGTAGCTGGTCAAAATCAGCTGTGCTATTGGCCAAGCAATGGCCGTGACTCATCCACATGGCTGACACTGACAAAGGTTCTACAATCGGAGGTACAGGATCTCAGGATAAATCCTGAGGGGACTTCACTAACCTTCTCAGACCAAAAAGCTACAACTCTTGTTGCACAGGTCCTGCTTTACCTTGGTCTTAACCACCCAGCAGAAAAGTATGAAGACGAAATATAGGAAGTAAAGCCATGCTGTTATGTTGAGCTGTGGGGGACTCAGGTCAATAATTTCTGACATTGCCAGTTAAACAGAAGACCCAATGCTACTATGGGCTACTGGACTCTTAGAATATTTTGCTGAGCTTACACACACCTATAATATTCAATAACGGAACTTAGAAAAAAAGGGGTATACAGATGAATATCCATTTTGTATCTGTGTATTCAAAGTGGATGGGATAGATATATAGTTATATTCTCTTAATGAATAGAATGATTTGTTCTAATGGTGTTTGTAAATAGGATCCCAAGTCCACATCTGGTACAGCAATTAACCACTAAGAAGAATGTATGCAGTGTGTTAGTTATTGAAACTGTCCTAGCAATTTGATTTGAAACTGTCTCATTGCTGCTTATCAATAAAATTATGAAAAAAAAAAAAAAAAAAAACTGGATGCCCATGTATTAAGAATTTCCTTGCCATATGAGAATGACAGTCTTGGAAGAAAATAAATAATGCCTTTTTTGTTTGTAGAACCTAAATCCATTTCTTATAATTAAATGTTATATTTGTTATCTCTAAAAAAATAAAGGTCCAGAACCAAAATCAGCTGTGCTGCTGTTGCTGCTGAATTTAGCCAAAGACAAGGCCTAGAGCCCTAAAAAATAAGAGAGGACCCGGGATATAGCTCGGCAGCACAGTGCCTGGCAAGTACAAGGTTATGAGTTTGATTCCTGATTATTATCAATAATAATAATAATAACAATAAATGACAGCAACCTCTTTCAAGTGTCTGCTTTTTCCTCATATTACTTTTTCAAATAGGTCACCATGGAGGTTTTTACATTTTGAAACCCACCTGGTCCTCTTCGCCACCGCCTTCTTCATCATAGTAGTAGACATTGTCCCGGGTGTCATCTTCTGGGGGTAGTAAGGGCTCTTTGACAACCCCTCTTCTCCGAACAAACAGTAGGAGCAGCAGAATCAGAACTGGAAAAATGGAGAGAGTAATGAGTGACAGGCAAGAAAGGCCCGAGGAAATACCCATCACCGACCACCACCCTTCCATCACACAAGTGGCGAGGTGGCACACACCTATCATCCTGGCACTTGGGAGGCTGAGACAGGATGACTGAGAGTTCAAGGTCGATCTAAGCTACATAGTGAGCCCCTGTCTAAAACTGCACTCTCTAACAATTCCCACCCACATCTCTTCCCCAACCCAATCGTCATTTTTCCAAAACCTGGAGCAAAGTGTTCAAGGCTAAGGAAAGAGCAAGGACAAAGGTTCTTGGGGTGGCAGCAGTGGCGGGGGCCAGGTGTGACTGAGCAGAGGTGAAGTGGAAGAGGCTGGGGGTGGGAAGAGTGTGCAGGACCCTGGAAGGACTTAGCTTCAGAGTGAGGTGGCCACTGGAGGCTTATTAGCAGGGCGGCTGGCTCAGCCTAATGTGAATGATGGTTACTGTTCATCCATTATGGAAGGTGGGGAATGACTACAAAATCACCTGACGTGCTATCTTCAGATAGGATTGTGTAAGCAAGCTTTATATTCTTTTTTTTTTTTTTTTAATTTTATTTATTTATGTGTGGAGGGGGCAGCTCAGCCCACCAGGGGGCGGGACTGGCTGGCATGTGGTGCTGGGGGATTGAACCGCGGTTCCTGTGCGTTGCTAAGCTTGTTCTAAGTAGGTGCTTTAGACCACTGAGCCATCTCACCAGCCCCAGCAAGCTTTAAATTCTTTAGATATATATATATATATACTTGAAAAGCATAAAAAGCTTCAGATTGCCCAGTGTTTCTCTAGTACATTTTTGCCCAGAAGCAACAAGAATTTAGACACCTGAATCTTGGCACTACTTCTACTTTAAATTTTATTTATACCCTCCAAAACTATGACCACCATATCCGATGAAATATACTTATAACAAAATTAGGTAATTCTATTTTAAGCATAACTGTAATTTCTAAGATGATCATCAGAGTCCTGGGAAAGTATTAGTAACCACTATCTCAAAAGCAGACTATAGGACCGGGGTGATGGCTCAGAAGAATAAGCGCTTGCCTGGCAAGCACAAGGGCCTGAGTTCAATCCCCGGTTCCACCAAAAAGAAAAAAAAAGCAGACTACAGAGCTGGGCATGGCAGAGCATGTCTGTAATCCCAGTGCTCAGGAGGAATCTGAGGAAGACCACCATGAGTCTGAGGCCAGCTCAGGCTGCACAGTGAGTTCAAGGTCAATTTGAGCTACAAAATGACACCCTGTCTCCAAGGAAGCAAGCAACCAAGCAAGCAGACCAGCCCATTAAAACATAATTTGACCAGGACCCGGCAGGGAGGGCCTGTGTCACCTACACCCAAAACGATGACAGTTGATGTGGTGAAATTAATCTAATGTCATGGTAATGAAGTTATATAAAACCTGAAAAACAAAAATCCAGTAAGCTCACTGACTTCAAGGATCCTGGCAGAAAGAAGGAAGAGGGGCTGGTGAGATGGCTCAGTGGTCTAAAGCACCTACTTAGAACAAGCTTAGCAAAGCACAGGGACCGCGGTTCAATCCCCCAGCACCACATGCCAGCCAGCCCAGCCCCTTGGTGGGCTGAGCTGCCACCCCCCCCCACACACACATAAAAAAAATTTAAGAAAGAAGGAAGAAATGGGACATCCAGTGAACGCACCTGGCAGGCTGGAAGATATGCCCTCCAGTCTCCTGGCACAGACTTGAGGGCCAGTAGCGCCTGTGCTCCAGCTACACTGAAGGCCCAGGGTTGCCCCCTGCTCCGTCCAACACCCATCTTGCACTTTGGTCGGCCTTCTTTCTTACACAGAATCCATTCAGGCTTCTCTGCGTCTTCACTAGTGTGGGAACCTTCTCGAATACCCTCTGCCAACTCAGTGCTCCCAGCCCCTGTAGTGCTTCCACCTACCTTGTCCACAAGACTCATGCACAGCCCCCTGGCTGCATGTGGGACCTGACTGCCCAGCCTCTAATTAATAGGAAGCATCTGTGAAGCTTCTCACAGGCTTGCCACCGCTTGCTTTTAGAAAGCAGCATCTGCAGGCAGATTCGAGATGTTCGTTTTAGAGGACAATAGACACTGCCTCTTCTTCCCCAGTGGCCCTTTTCTTCCTTATCCTTTTAGTTGTTGATGCTGCTCCCAACACACTCCATTCTTACTGCCTACCAAGTTTTCATTTAGTGCATGGTCACCCAGGGAAGAGTGGGAGCACTCAGGTTCCCTTACAGCTTGGAATGACGGTGTGGGCCAGTGGGATGTGATTAGCTTGTTTGTTTGAGACAGGGTCTCACTGTGTAGTCCAGGCTGGTCTTGAACTCACCATATAGCCTAGGTTGGCCTCAAACTCATGGTGAATCTCTTGCCTTGGCTTCCTGAGTACTGGGACTATAGGTGTGCGTCATAATCCCTGGCTAGCATGCATGCAATTCATTCATTCATTCATTCATTTTTGTCTTTTTGAGATAGGGTCTATGTAGTTCAGACTGGCCTTGCGCTCACTTTGTAGCCCAGGCTGGACTCAAACCTGTAGCAATCCTCCTGCCTCAGCCTCCCGAGTGCTGGGATTACAGGATGTGGCTAGCTTCAACTGTGCTGAGGACAGCACTTCAGGAGAGGGCCAGGGACCCCCAACATCAGCATAACTTGGGAGTTAGTTAAAAACACAGAATCGGAAGGCCCTCGTCAGACCTCTGGATCAAAATTCCCACTTTACTGAGAAGCAAGGTGGTGGAATAGGCTGCCTTCTGGTCTGGGACTACACTTCTCTCAAATGTTCAGTAGGGAAGAGTCTCTTGTATCTATTTAACTTATACGCTAACTAAAAGTCACCTAGGAAGTAAAGCTCCCCACTTGAAAAGCCCAGGCTGAAACAGCTGCCACTTATACTTACTTAGCAGAGCAAGGATTCCTCCTAGAATGCCCAGGATGGCAGGCACCTGCAGCCCGGCTTCTACGTAATTTGCCCTCACGCAGTTGCTGACAGTCCCTTCACAGTCACACACACCGACATCCAAAGTGGTTACTTGGTCTTTGTTCTGGTTATCAATGAGTTTGAGATTGATTTTGTAGTCGCCCACCTCCATGGTCTTCTTTGGCTTCAAGATGATGGCGTCTTGGGCTAAGGAAAGCAAAACAAATGATGAGGCCAGGAGAGGAGAAAGAAAAGCTCTTCCTCCACTAGAACTGTGAAGAAACTACAGACATTCCAAAGCTCAGAGGAGCAATGAGAGCCGGTGTGAGCCTCAGGCTGCTGGGCATTAAGTCATACAGTGAAGCCTCCAGAAAGGAAAGCGCCCTTCCATGCACTGCCTCAGACAGGAAAGATGTGAGGATCAAATATTGAAGGGCAGGGATGGTCTCTGGAGATGGAAGGAAAATTCAGAAGTGTGCTACGCAGGAGAAGTGCAGCAGGAGGGGCCAAGGCTCTGGAATAAAGCTGAGGCCTCACCTGAACTGGTATACTCGATGGTCCAGTTGACGCTCGCCCCGTGGGTGAGCTCTGCCGTGAAGGGGGAGGTGTTGGGGGGCAGATCTGGGTCATTGATCTTTATGGTTTGAGGCTGGGGATCCCTCTGGCAGAAGTGCATGTTTCGGGGTTCTGGGGTGGGGCCGTTGTCATTCACGTCAAAGAGGAACAAGAGGAGGGTTCCTGTGCCAGTGGCGATTGGAGAACCTAAAAGAAAACACAGAAGAACTGTCACAGTGCAGGACCATAAATGACTTCTTTTTAGCTCCTGAAAGACCAAATCTTGTCCTGGCTCATCAGTGAACCCACCCTGGGCCCCATCTGTACCCCACATTTCTTTGAAATCCTGACAGCTGCCAGCACGTGGAGGTAGACAAGAAGGGACACTCAGGAAACCACTATAAATTTTAGTGTGTGAGAGGGAAGCGACAACAGCAACCAACAGAGAACTTCTGGAGCCTGTAGATACTTAGACCTGGATGGCAAAGCAATCACTTCTTTAAGGTTTTTTGTTTTGTTTTTTTTTTTAAATCATGTGGCTTTTAACAAGTGGGCGTGCCCTTTTATTTTTTTTTTTTAAAGATTCTGGCCATTGAACCTAGGGTCTTACAGAGCATGTCACTTAAAATGAACTTAACACACACACTTTTTTTTTTTTTCCAATGAGCTAACAGATTTTCTGAAGAAACTTCATACCTTAGACCTTCTATGAAAAGGCATGCAAGGGCCAGCGATGTGGCTCTGTGGTACAGCAGTACTTGCCTAGCATGTACAAGGCACTAGGTGTGATCCTCTGTATTAAAAAGGTGGGGGGTGCGGGAAGGAATTCTGCCTGTAGGCTCAGAACTCAGGAGCCTGAAGCAGGAAGATTGCCACAAGCTCAAGGTCAGTCTGGACTACAGTGAATTCAAGGCTAGTCTAAACTATATAGCAAGACTCTCTCTGAAAATAGAGCAATTGTACTTCCAAACATCTATTGAGGGAAATACTTGACTGGCTTTGAACTCACTGTGTAGCCTAGGGTGGCCTTGAACTCCTGGCAATCCTCTTGGCCTTAGCCTGCCAAGTGCTGGGATTATAAGCATGTGCCACCACCCCTGGCATCAGGGAAATACTTGTGTAAAGAGGCATGTACTTGGCACCCACTGAGATATGTGAATGATTAAATTATGCTGTACCCAGACAACATACTTATGAAAAAGAGATGGGTCCGTAATGTACAATGGTGACTTGTGTGTCCAGTGGGGAGACTCAAACCCAGGGGGTTATGTATGCTTAGGAAGAGCTCTACCACCTCTGTCTTAAAGA